CGTAACGGAAACACCCTTAAATGCATCTTCATGCATTCAGAGAGGAGGTGAGACAGAAGGTCCGATGGGGTGGGACAAAGTGGGAGAGGAGGAAGTGTAACAGGTTAGGACAACGTAGGATGGGGTGGGATGCAGTAGCACTGGAGGTGGGACAAATTAAGACACGAGGAGGTGGGACAACGTGGGACAACATGGAACAGGAGTTAGGATGAGGTGAGACAGGAGGTGGGCCAGTGGGAGCGGACTGGGACAGAATGTGAGACAAAGAAGGGCAGACTAATACAAGAGGTGAGACAGGGAGGGATAAAGTGGAACAGGAGAAAGGACAGGGTGGGATAGACTACTGAGACAAGAGATGTGACAAAGTGGGAGAGGAGGAGCAACAGGGAATGGGACAGAGTCACAAGGACTGAGAGAAGATGGGACAAGAGATGGGACAGAACAGGGCAGGACAGGAGGCGGGACGGGAGCTGAGACACAGTAGGAAGAAAGTAGGACACAAAGAATGTTTGTGTTTGTCTGGGTTTGTTGGAGGAGGTTTGGGTTTGTTGGTGTTGGAGAATGTTTGGGTTTGTTGGTGTTTGTTGGAGAATGTTTGGGTTTGTTGGTGTTTGTTGGAGAAGGTTTGGGTTTGTTGGTGTTGGAGAATGTTTGGGTTTGTTGAGGGTTATTAGAGAAGGTTTGGGTTTGTTGAGGTTTGAAGGTTTGGGTTTGTTGGGGTTTGTTGGAGAAGGTTTGGGTTTGTTGGTGTTGGAGAATGTTTGGGTTTGTTGGTGTTTGTTAGAGAAGGTTTGGGTTTGTTGGTGTTTGTTGGAGAAGGTTTGGGTTTGTTGGTGTTTGTTGGAGAAGGTTTGGGTTTGTTGGTGTTTGTTGGAGAAGGTTTGGGTTTGTTGGTGTTTGTTGGAGAATGTTTGGGTTTGTTGGTGTTTGTTAGAGAAGGTTTGGGTTTGTTGGTGTTTGTTAGAGAAGGTTTGGGTTTGTTGGTGTTTGAAGGTTTGGGTTTGTTGGTGTTTGTTGGAGAAGGTTTGGGTTTGTTGGTGTTTGTTAGAGAAGGTTTGGGTTTGTTGGTGTTTGAAGGTTTGGGTTTGTTGGTGTTTGTTGGAGAAGGTTTGGGTTTGTTGGTGTTTGAAGGTTTGGGTTTGTTGGTGTTTGTTGGAGAATGTTTGGGTTTGTTGGTGTTTGTTGGAGAATGTTTGGGTTTGTTGGTGTTTGTTGGAGAAGGTTTGGGTTTGTTGGTGTTTGTTGGAGAATGTTTGGGTTTGTTGGTGTTTGTTGGAGAAGGTTTGGGTTTGTTGGAGAAGGTTTGGGTTTGTTGGTGTTTGTTAGAGAAGGTTTGGGTTTTTTGGTGTTTGAAGGTTTGGGTTTGTTGGTGTTTGTTGGAGAATGTTATACAGTATTTGTTGGAGGCCATTTGGGATTATTAGAGAATGCTTGGGTTTGTTGGGGTTTGGTGGGTCCGCTGGGTCAGTGTGCTCTGGACATAAGGTCTAAGTCTATGCTGGGTAGTTTGGTTCTGTGAGGAACGTCACTCTTGTGCTCAGAACACTCATTCCAGATCCTCCTCTTTAACCGGAGTTCACCGTATCCGTGTGTAATTAAGCGCTGAACAGCCACTGATCCATTTTTCAAGGATGGTGGGAAAATTGGATGATGGAAGAGTATTTAGTCTTCCCCTGGGCACCCATATATTAATGAGGTGTGCCACTGGAGACTGCTGATTCCTCTGAAGAGTGTGATGAATGAAGGCAGAAAGAGGCGAGGCAGAGGACAGATGAAGCTGGAGACGCTGACAAAACATACAGGATCTCTATTATTTCTGCTACTATCATTCAATAGTAATGAAAATAGTCAGAAGCACAGGCTGCGCCTGATTTTTAGCTGTGCTAATGCACTTCTGCCTCGTAGCTCCAGTTCTAAAGCTAAAGAAACAAACTTCAGACAGCTTGGAGTCTCGGCTGATCAACTACAGTTGGGATGGGAGCGGCTGGACAGTGTGAATTTGATTTTTAGCTGAACTATTGCTTCAAGTAAAAGGATGGGGGAGGTCAGCCGTCCCTCTTTTTCTTTTCGGGAACAGTCTGCGGCTAATTGGAGGAAAAGTGCGAGGCTTTTTGGACAGATGCTGTCCGTTCCAGAGCTCAGCTCTGTGAAGGATAAACACACAGCCTGGGGGAGAGGCTGTTTCTGCAGATTTCTGTCAGATGGCTCGGTCCGGCCGGAGGCTTCAGACGCTCCGTCATTAGCGTTAGCGCTGCGGTCTCGTTCACTGTGGGCCTGTATGCTGTAATAACCGCAGTGTGGAGGGAGAGTGATGCTCTCTGGAGTTCAGACCTTTACTCCAAGAATCAAACCATGGAGTGTGTTACGCATCACTGTCCCACTGCTGCTCAGAACCCAACCACAGCAGGCCTCTAGAACTGGACTGGATTTTTGGACATATAGTTTGTTTTGACTACTGCAGACACTTCATATATATTTATATAACGTTATATATACAGACAACTAATTAATCAGTATCTTTGTGAGGTGTGGGGTCAGCAGAACAGCTTCAGGGCTCCTGAATAGATCCTACAATCTTCTAGAACTGTACTGGAGAGAGGCGGCACGGTGGCACAGTGGGTAGCGCTGTCACCTCACAACAAGAGTGGGCGACCAGGGTCCTCTCTGTGTGGAGTCTCCCCATGTCTGTGTGAGTTTCCTCCCACAGTTCAAAGAAATTCAGTCAGGCCAACTGGACAAGCTAAATAAGTGTGATTCTGTGTGTGAATGTATGTGTCTGTCTGTCTGCCCTGTGATGGACTGGCGGCCTGTCCAGGGTGTATCCTGCCTTCTGCCCAATGACTACTGGGATAGGCTCCAGCTCAATGACCCAGGAGGATAAGCAGCTTAGAAAGTGTGTGTACTGGAGAGATGGATCACTCCATCCATCCATCATCTAAACCGCTTATCCTTCTGGGTCGCAGTGGATCACTATCCTTCCTAAAGATGTTCCCTCAGTGGGTGTTTTGCAGGAGTGTAATGGCTCTCCAGATCCACGGTTCGGTTCAGACCTTGATTTTTTGTTTTGTTTTCAGAGAATAAAACTTCTGGCTTTTAATAAAATCACCAACAATTTGGAACCCTAAAGAGAAGAACACCAACGCTTCACACCACCAACCACACCAGTGTGAACAAACGCAGGCTGGTTCACGACGTCACAGCATGTCATGTTGAGCATTTGTGTCAACTTCCATTAAAAGTGCTGGCTGGAGTCACTATGCTGGTTTTTGTTTGATGTTTCTAGACCAAGTCAAAATGGAGGATAATATAAATTTGATATTAGAATTATATGCACGTGTATGTAAATTTGAAAAAGGGACAGGGCTGATGTTTCACTTCCTGTCTAATAAAGAAACGAAAACAGGTGCCTGAATCTGCTGACTCAGTTCTACAGGCTGAATACACCGTTTGGCCACGTAGGGTTGATTTGAGCAGAGGGGGAGGGAGAGAAGGATGGAGACAGAGACAGAGAGACATTGCGCTTGTTTATAGGAGTTTGATGAAGTTTGGAGTTGCTATTTTTTAATGTAGTCTGTAAAGGTAAAATCAAAAGAAATTGTCTTTACACCTATTTTATTTCAGAACAAAAGTGATGGCCTCCATAAGCTGAAAACAAGCGGAGAGAAGGTCTTTAACGCTGGAGTTCGGTCTTATACGCTGTTAATTCACCACCACGTTTAATCTGCAACGAGAAACTGTCAAACGCTAAAAAGTCGTGAAGCTGAAGTCAGTTTCTCATTCGCCAGCTTCTTGTTCGAATTGTCCCGTTCCACCTTAAATGGTGCATCAGTTACATTCTGGAGCCTCAGGCACCATTTAAGGTGGAACGGGAAAATTCAAACAAGAAGCTGGCGAATGAGAAGGACATCAGCCTAGTAAAACATCAAACATTTAGAGACATTTTACAAGAAAATGTTCTACCTTTGAGGGAAAGTTTCCTGCTGGAGATGTGAGAAAAGCAGCTACAGCTGAGCGAAAGTTTAAAGCAGAGGAAAGTGAGTCTGAGTTTTTGTTTATATTATATTTTTAATCTTCACTAGTATATCAGACATACTGAGACATGTTTACATACAAGAAAGTAAAACGTTACACCAATAAAATGGACATAAAGTGTTGAGGCTCCTAAGGAGGTTTGATTTTTGTTGAAAGGACAAAATGGCTCTTCTTAACATTTGGACTGCGACCCCTGACCTTCTAACATGCTGTCATTAAAAGGCTGCATTACTCTTATCATCATGTTGGTGTTCAGTGTTGAAATGGCCTTAAATTCGCTGAAGAATGCAGGCTGACTCTTTTAGGACTCCGGACTCGACTTGAGACTCGCCTGTACTGTCAAAATTTGAGACTCTCTTGTTATTTTCATCTCAGTGACTTGTTCCCACCTCTGGCTCCTACATATCACACTAATGCACAAGCGTCACGCTCACTGAATGTGCACTTTCACCACAGTGTCCAGCCCTGTTTACTGACGTCTCTCCCACAGATCTGGAGGCAGAGCTCACTTTTGTCCTGAGACAGTTTGTGACTGAAGCTCCAATCATGAATCCTCTTTCAAAGTCACTTCGATCTTTTCCTCTTGATCATCCTGATCCAAAATCCAGCTGGACCTGCTCAGCATTTTTACATCTGACCTGAGCTGGTAGGACTTTAAAGCAACATTCTGTAAAAGTTTCACCTTAAAATAACAGCATTTTGATGCTACTCTGACTTATCATAGTGAGAATGGAACAGAAGGCCTGCTATAGCACTATGTATCTTTGGAGGAGCAGCACGAGAACCTCTCGCATGAACTGCGGAATGCTTTATAGCACCACGACACACGTGACACCCCAGTGCTCCCATTACAATCCTCCCCCCTTTAAACCAGTCTGCTCCATCTGTCGCTCTCAGAATAAGGAGACGAACACAGAACAGAATAAAGTATAAACAAACTGATATTTACTCTGTATGTGTGTCCTCAGGTGCGGTCAGGGCGTCTAGTATCTTCCCCATCATGAGCGTAGGTCTGCTGTTTATGGGGGGGCTGTGTGTGGCAGCCAGTGAGTTCTACAGGAGCAGACACAACGTCATCCTGAGCGCCGGGATATTCTTCGTTTCTGCAGGTAAATCACACACATTTACCACGACACCGTTACAACACACACTACCTTTAATGATTAAAAGTATCGAGTCTGTTCTACAGTTTCTCATTAGGCTGAATGAATAACCGACTCTAAATGTAGGTATTGTGATATAAACTGAGTCTGTTCTACAGTTTCTCATTAGGCTGAATGAATAACTGACTCTAAATGTAGGTATTGTGATATAAACTCATTCTTCATTCAGTCCACATCGGAGACTCATGTGAAACGGCGTGCAGAGAGTTTACAGCTGCTGAAGCTGCTGCAGCGGTTTTGGAAAGTAGTGATGAAGATAACGGAGCATTTAGATATGAAACATATGAGGATCATGATATATGAAGAGACTTTAAAGGAGAGTTTAAGAGCTGTATATTATTAAGCCCAGTGTGGGAAAGTGAATGTACACCGCTGTTAGCTTGGCACTAACATAATAATGCGAATCCCATAGAGACTGAATCCCATAGCTAGCTAAAATTAGCATTATCATTGCAGCAGTACTCAGATGCTTAGAAAGAACACTGACTGTCTCTTTAGTGTCTTCCTAACATTTTCCCTCATTGTAGAAATGAACACAATGAAAACAAACAGACACAGATGTGAGCAAACATCTGCAGCCTGAACAGTGACTAGTAAAAGTAAGCTGCATTTAGAAAAATGAAGAATTAGCTAATATCACCCACTCAGACCGTCCTTTCCTTTCTGCCAGGATCGAAGGCTAAAGGTCAGTAACAGGTCAGAAACACGGGAACCGTCATTCTAACAGACACTCACTCAGGTCTAGATTAGCTCAGCATTCAAAGCAGACAGTAAACAGAAGCCTAACGAGCACTGAAGAACAGCGGTGGACAGAGGAATCCGATACGCTGCTGTGCTTTAAAGCAATAGTGTTTTACTGTCTTTGATTGGCTGAGCATCTTTAAACTGCGTCCAAGTGTCCAATCAGGAGCTGAGGGAGTATAAACACACTCTCTAGTGTTGTCCTTCCAGATTAACTGTGATTATTGACAAAGAAAGTGTCCGGCCGTGTTGGAGCAGAGTAAACTGTGGGCCTATTGACCCGTTCGTGTTGTTCTGGCCGGAGCGAGGGCAGCAGACGGGAACCAAACTCCATATTAGTCAAATATTTACAGAAGACCCCATTAGACACTGGACACACACAAACGGCCGATTCAAACCGCCTCGTGTTGCTAATATAATCAGCGGCCGGTCCAGAGACGACTGTACTGTGAAATAGCTGGACATCCTTCACCATCAGTGTCTCAGTCTTATTCTTATTTATAGAGCATCAGATTATAAAGAGCTCATATCATCATATTTCATTTTTAACTCATAGTTCATTCCTACATGATCATTTTCCAACCTCTGTTTATTCCTTATAATTAAACAGGCTGATAGTGTAACTGTGCCTTCAAGACTGATATATGTAAATGAGCTCTGTTCTGATTGGCTGCTCTGTATTGTGCCTCATTCAGGAGGCAGTTCGGACTGAAACACCCCTTATACAGTAGAGGAATATTCAACACGTCTAATTAAATATGCTTCCAGTGCAGCTATTCACATTAAATTGATATTAACACAATAAAACTACATTATTTACACTTAGTCAAATATAGAACTGTACAGTGTATAAATAAATAATTTATAATTCTGCAGTGTAGCAGACATTTCAATACACTGCGAAAATGATGTCTTAACGAGAGAAATTATCTTAAATTCAGTCTAAATATCTGATATTTCTCATTATGAAATGGTTCTATGAATATTGTAAGATTATATAACTTTTTATATAATATAATTCATATATAACTGTTTTTTTACATGTATTGAGTCATTTTATTAAGTAAAATCATCTCACTATATGGGCAGATAATGTTGCTTGTTTCAAGCACATTTCTTAAAATAAGCAAACTATCAGATAAATTTACTTAATAAAAATACTCAAAACATGTAAAAACATTTAGAAATAATATATAATTTTTTGTAAAGCTTATCTTTTATTATAAGCTGACAGTACTATTAACATGAGGAATATTAGATATGTTAACTAGATTTAATACAGTGTAATTTGCCAAGATGCCAGTGTAACAGTCAGTTTCAGTGCTTTCAGTTCATTTGCTTTATTCACATGACAAATATATATATATACACACACATATATACATATATATATATATATATATATCAGAACAGAAAATGTCAGTTATTATTTAATAATATAAAAAAACAGTAAGACATTACTTATCGTGCTGTGGGAACCAGACCTCGAATCTCCATTTTGGTCATTTTTATAATTTGAAAATATCTGTTGTTCTTTACATTCTGTGTAATTTTCATAATGAATGAACCAAAAGAAACAACCCAAAATGACTTGGACATGGTTCCCTTTGGTTCTGCTTCCATTGACTAACATTAAAAGTACAGTAGGTTTTTTCCTTCTCCTGTAAAGTTACCATTTTGGAGATACGAGGTTTTGTTCCGACAGCAGCGATATATAAGTAGCGTATAACAAGAGAGGGGAAAAGGTAATTATGAAATATATCTCTGTACTCAAAAAGGGAAAAAGGACCAAAAGACTGATATCACACATGTACATATATAACGCTGAGGAAAAAGAAGAGGTCGTGGTTTAATTTCTCCACCTACATTTTAAAAATAAGGATGCAGGAGTTCTTCAACTTCAGCTCCCCTAAACGACCACATGCTGAATGAGTTTGTGTTTAAAATATGAATCTAATCATTAGATCTTTTGAACATATGGAGTTTTGTATTGATGAAAAGGAGACTGAACATTAAAATCAGACATTAAGATGTAGAACTATGTACACTTTTCTGTGTTCGTTCTAATAAACATTCAGAACTCAAATTAGTGTTAGTTTGTTACACTGGTGTTGGTTATGCTTCGTGCTGCACTCAGTGCTGCTTACTGTGATTAAAAACGGGAACCCGGCCAAACAGAGCAATTAAACTAAAACGAGTCCGACTTTTCCTGAAACGGTGATGAGGATCAATAGAATGTGTACATGTGACTCATAAACGTTATAAAAGTGATAGAAGTGACTATCAGAGCAACTAACAGTGCTGCAGCTGGGCTTCAGCCTGACTGTTAATACTTCATCGCCACCTACTGGATGCATTTTGAACTGCAGTAACTTGAAATAAACGTTAATTATGAAATACTAGTTGTTTTTATGGGTGAGTTTGAGAATCTGTACTCGAGCACTCATTCAGAAATGTCAGCGAGAGTTCAAAGCCTAGTAAAATGCTTTTTGGGCCAGACGTCCAGGGATCCGCCTGAGATTAAGCCCCTCCTCCTCATGTGATGTGATGAGCAGTGTATCCACCGTATGAATACGTCAAATTTGTCCTATTATGTTATGTTCCAAATGTGCGAAACCAAATTTGAGATAATTTGCCCCAAATATTAGTGAGAGGATAAAAGCTAATTAAAATGTTCTGATTGTTCTTATTTTCTTTGTTCCACATCAGTGATAAGAAGCCACTTTCCTACTTCCTGTTTAATGGCACGGAATGATGAGTCACAGCTGCGTAAAGAGCTGTAAAATAACCTCTCTCTCTCTCTGTCTCCTCTCTCTCTGTCTCCTCTCTCTCTCTCTGTCTCTCTGTCTCTCTCTCTCTCTGTCTCTCCCTCTCTCTCACTCTCTGTCTCTCTCTCTCTCTCTCTCTCTCTCTCTCTGTCTCTGTCTGTCCCGCTCTCTCTCTCTCTCTCTCTCTCTCTGTCTCTCTCTCTCTCTCTCTCTGTCTCTTTGTCTCTCTCTCTCTCTCTCTCTCTCTGTCTCTCTCTCTCTCTCTCTCTCTCTCTCTCTGTCTCTCTCTCTCTCTCTCTCTCTGTCCCGCTCTCTCTCTCTCTCTCTCTCTCTCTCTCTCTCTATCTCTCTCTCTCTCTCTGCAGGCCTCAGTAACATCATAGGAATAATCGTCTACATTTCCGCAAACTCAGGAGACCCCGGTCAGAGCGACTCTAAGAAGAGCTACTCGTACGGCTGGTCCTTCTATTTCGGAGCGCTGTCCTTCATCATGGCGGAGATGGTGGGCGTGTTAGCCGTTCACATGTTCATAGAGAAACACCGCAAGCAGCGCGCCAAGTCCCGCACCGAGCTCATAAAGAAATCCGCCTTCAGCCGGATCCCCAGCTACCGCTACCGTTTCCGCCGCCGCTCCAGCTGCCGCTCCAGCGAAGCCCCGTCCAGAGACGCCTCTCCGATCGGCAAGAGCGGATACACCGGCCCGGCCGCCGCCGATATATCCATGTACACGCTGACCCGTGACCCCAACAAGGCCGGAGTGGGAAACCTGCTGAACTCGGAGAGGGAATTCCTCCAGCCTCACAACTCCAACTCCAAGGACTTTAAGGACGCGGCCAGCCGGAGAACCACGCCCGTCTGACTCACCGGAGTGGGGATAATACAGGGTTTAGGGGTGAATCCAAGCACAACTGAAGTGCCATGGCCAAGACATTACAACCAGGGACTTGAGCTGGACGCCCACAGCAGCAGGGAGAGAACGCTAGTATGCTAGTACACTACACTAGAGTGCTAGTCCTGCCGGAAACCCTCCTCCTATAACAACGTATACACTGGCAGTCAGGAAGACATGCACAAGCGTTGGGTTATTTTTGTCACTGTCACTCATTTGCATCAAAACATTGGAGGCTAATGCTGCGTTCACATGTTTGTGGTACACAAATGACAGATATTTCATTGCTTTCAATGGAGCTGCAACGGGAAATTCTGCCACTGCAAGCGTTAATGTTCCGCAGACCACAGCGGTGAGCGGAATGATCCGTCAAGAGTTATATTTTCCAAACTTCTGCCACCAACTGCAGCGATGAAATAAACCAGATAAACCAGTTTATTTTCTTGAGGAGCCAGGGACGACAAACATCTCGTTGTTGAATTCCAGACAAACAGCAAAAGAGTGCAGAGCACCTCCTACCTTTCTCCTCCTTAAACGAACAAGCTCTGCTGTGATATTCACCCATTTTTGCAGGCAACACGGTCACCATGCCAATGTTTTATGTGGCTTCATGGCGCCGTCGGCTGAGCACCATACGAGGTGCGGAACAATGTTTTTTGGACACAAACATGTGAACGCAGGATTAGTGTTTAGCAGTGCTTTGTAGCTCCTCCTAAAGCCTTGATGACCTCATATGTTCAGAAAGTTTTTAATGTATTCATTCTTCACTGCTGTCCAGGCTAAGGGTTCAGCGATTTCAACACAGTTTCAAAACATTGTAAAAATGCGAAAGAGTGATGTAAAAAAAAAACTGGCCATTCTGCCCCTCGTTCTCTTCAGAGCGCCTCTTGGTGGGCGGGCAGGGGGCAGGACGGCTATAGACACACCCACTCCAAAGAGAAGAGGCCTAATCTCGTAATGAGAACATCTGGGGACAACAGTGAGAAATTCTGGGCTAAATATTGGAGGGACGTAGACTTAGAGTGGAAATAAACTGAGATTAAAACCTCTAAACCAGTACGCCTCGTGAAGGTGGAGCTCACAGTAGGGGGCGCTGTTGTGCTTGTCAACATTATATGACAGACAACAAGCTTGTCATTAGCACATGGATGTGGCAGAAGTTAGCATGGCTGAAAAATCCCTCAAAATACTTACATTAAAAAACATTCATTGGAATAAATAAAAAGTTTTGATTATCTCTTCACCCAGATTATACTTTAGCTTTATAATACATCACTGGACTGAAGGTAAAAGATGACGGCAGATCTGTGGCTGTGTGTGGCGTCTATTAGCACTCTCTGTTATTAGCTTTTAGCACTCAAGTCTCTGCTTTGAGCATCACTGAAAGAGAGGAAACCCACACCAGCAGGATCTCACTGACGCCTGTATGTCTGTAGGTATAAATTTCATGAATATGTAGAAAAGTTAAATGTTTCCTGTTCAACATTGTATTTATATGATCACTTTAATAATTGTCAAAATAATTGCTCGATCGTTTAATTAATATAACTATATAATCCCTCATATTGCTTCACTCTTAGTCTAAACGTTATCCGTTGTAGTTGGACTTTTCTTCGCCACACATTTACCAACATAGTCCTACAGGTTCTCAGCAGGGTTTAGAGATTCTCAGTGAGGTTTAGATGTTCTCAATTGGGTTTACAGGTTCTCAAAGGGGTTTAGAGGTTCTCAGTGAAGTTTAGAGGTTCACTGTGAGGTATAGAGGTTCTCAGTGGGGTGTAGAGTTTTTGGTGGGGTGTGAATGTTTTCAATGGGGTTTAGAGAATCTTAATGGGGTTTAGAGGTTCTCAGTGGGGTTTAAAGGATCCCAATAGGGTGTATAGGTTCTTAGTGGGATTTAGAGGTTAACAGTGGGTTTTAGAGGATCTCAATAAGGTTTAGAGGTTCTCAGTGCATTTTAGGGGTTCTTGAAAGGGTTTAGAGGTCCTCAATGGAGTTTAGAGGTTCTTAGTGAGGTTTAAATCTGGAGATTGTGCTGAACGTTGTCTCGTAAACTCCCTCAAACTGCTAGCTCGCTTTTGTAGCATCTTGTGTTGTTGGAATATTTCGGTCATTTGTTGTCGTTTATTTAAAGGCCTAAATCCCTTCAAACATCAGAAAGAGTTGCTGAACTGTGAGCGATTCTTTCTGACTGCCAGTGTATTGATATAGATAGTATTTGTTAGATCATTGGTGCTTCCTTTTATTCCTCATTTTTTTGAGTCGGTTCGTTTTTCACTGAGAGTGTAAATCCAACACGTCCGCCCCTCACTCCCTCGCTCCCTCGCTCCCTCACTCCCTCGCTCCCTCGCTCCCTCACTCCCTCGCTCCCTCGCTCCGCTCCAGTGGAACGAGCCAACTCTCCTCTCCTCAATGTCACTCCGAACAGAAACTGCCATTGGAATTCATGAACTGTAGAGATTAGCCCAGTGAGACTGTGAAAGACTCAACCTTTTCCAAGCTCCTCTCTGTGGAAGTGAAGGGGAGGGGCTGCAGAGGGTTTTGTTTTGTTTTATGTTTTTGTTTATTTTTGACGGACAAACTGACCTGCTGTCCCTCTCCTGGCCTTATGGACAGCTGCTGGTGAGTGCCTCGTCACACTCGTGCGATTGTAAACAGCAGCGTCGGTTGTTCTGTCCCGGGCTGGGCGTGTTAAACCCCACCCTCAGTGCCGTCGTCTATAGGTCCACTTTACTCAGACTCACACGCACCTACCGACAGGGACGGGTTCGGTTATTCTGGGCAAAGACAGGGCCTTCATGAGCCAATGAGCTGTTGAATCTTCATGATTCTTCTTTGCTTTTATTCCTCTCGTCTGTAGCCGTCACTCACTGTATCGATAGTATGTCCAGCATCGATCAGCACAGGAGCTACGAGGCTGAAATTGGCTGCTTATCCAATTTTCTGTTCCACCTTAAATGGTACAACAGTTACATTATGCCATCTCAGGCCTCGTCCACATATATCTGGATCTTTTAAAAAGGGGTGTCAATTGCAAATATTAAAAATATCTCAGTGACTCTAAAGATATCTGTTATTATTATCATTAACCAAATTCAGATTTGGAAAAAAAATCCTAACTCCATAATTGTGATGGAGTGAAAAGCTAGAAAAACTCTGCTTCCCTGCCTGGTCGGGACTGTGTGGACGATTCAGAGACGGTGTTGTAGACCTGACAATGTAAACAACCACACAGCAGCAAGGAGCACCTTCACTTCACTTTGTAAGCTTTTATTTTCTGGCAGAAATCAGACTTTAAATCTGTGAATGAAAGATTGAATTACGGAGGTCTGACGGTCTGCAGGTCAGAGTCCTGCTGTGTTCGTAAAGCTGCCGTCAGTTAGAAAAAGTTAGAAAATCTCTGCTTCAGCTCAGCGCTTTAAAGTTTATCCACTGCACTCACAGTGTTATTGACATCAGAATGGGCTCGCGCGCTCATGTGAGTGTTTTTAAGTAGTTTTGCGATCTTGTGTGGGCAAAGATTTCTGAAACCAGCAAAGATTTCTGCAGACAAATGGAGAAAACAGTGATGTTTTTTTCTGTGGATGAGGCCTGAGGTGCCAAAATGTAAGAGTGGACCATTTAAGATGGACTGGAATCACTGAATACACAAATAAAAAGCCAAATAGGAACTGAGGTTTGTTAGGCTATGTTGTTCTCCTTGGTAATATGTGGCTTTTTTTTAGGTTTTTAGGGGCCCTTGGCTCCTGGAGACTCTTGGCTTATGGAAGCGCTTGCTTCCTGGGGGCCATTGGTTCTTGGAGGCCTTTGGCTTTCAGAGGCCTTTGGCACTTGGAGGCACTTGGCTGTTTGATGCCTTTGACTCCTGGAGGCTCGTAACTCTTGGAGGCTCTTGGAGGTCATTGGTTGTTGGAGGCCTTTGGCACTTTGATGCACTTGGCTCTTGGGTGGCTTTGGCTCCTGGAGGCTTTTGGAGGTCTTTGGCTCCTGCAGGCCCATGGCTCTTAGGGACCCTTAGCTCTCAAAGGCCCTTGGAAGTTGTCTACTTTGCCCAGTATAAATTCCGCCCCTGCCGCCCGGTCACCCTCCTCTCTACTTCCCGGCCAGCTGCATGCCATTCCTCCATTGTTTAGACACCATTTGATCCATTCCCACCACTTTTATGACAGGGTTTTAAACACTTGCTATTAAACAGCATCTTCCACCCACCTCAACTCCTGGTATTACATTTCTTTCACTGCAGATCTCTGGAGTCATTCTAGTCAATGTCATGCTTATATAAGGAACTCTGGGTCTAAGCTGTTTTTCTCTATGATGAAAATCACTGCCATCTCAAAAATGTTCCAAAGCTGATATGTTTTGTCTTGTGTGACGTCAAAGGATCTTCTGAATTATGAGGCCATTCAGGAGCCAAAAACTAGCACGTAGTAGCAGCCCACACAAACCAGCGGGTTTCATCCAACGTGATAGTCGGTGTTAAGCTACAGAACATTAGTAATTAGTTACAGTTAGTAGTTATTTCTTTCAGAAGTAAATTAATTACGATGCTAATTACTACATAAACCAGTAATTAGTTAGTAGTGAAAGTCACCTTTGTGCTACTTCTAAATGTTGACATTCTAACTGTTGTTGTAGGCTGTATGTTTTTGACAGAATACCTGGCAACCTGTTTAGCCCTGCCTGCTTACAGGCTGTGTTTACAATCGATCCTTGGCTGTTTGGATGGAGGTGTTCGCTGGTCAGCAGCGCTAGCACTGCGGTCTTTCACGATTAGCCTTGTAGAAGCGTGTTGTTTTACCAGCTGCTTCAGAAGATCAGATTTACTGTTCTTTGATGTGGTAAAGTTCTCACACCTGCACAGATCACAGCATCTTTATCTCATTGATGTTGAGGAGAGAAAAATAACACTCATATTTGCAGAACATCCAGCTCACATCAGCTGAACTGTCAGCCACTGTGTGGGCTAACAC